ATAACAAGAAAAGAGATCACAATCACACAGCTGCTTCATAGGGTAATCTGCAGTATATGGAGGACTGCAGTTATGTCTTTGAGCTGGAGAATTGGAGAAACAATCCTAATTCCCAAAGGTGAAAATACAAAAGATCTCTCACTCTTCATACCAATAACAGAGAAGAATGCTAGCAGAAATCCTTGCTCCAAGATTAATAGCATATCGCTGTGCAAATGGATATATTGACCAATCCTTCCAAAAGGGATTCATGGAGAAAATCTCAGAATGCGTAGAACACACTGAAGCACTTACTAAAATGCTTTACGATGGCAAGAAAAAAAAAAGGAAAACAGATTGTGAAAACTTGGCTGGACATTCAAAACGCATGGGTCCCATACTAACTCATCCAGTTTGCGCTTGAGTGGTATTATATACCTGAACATATCGGCAAGCTTGTCTTTAATTACTACAATGACCACTTCATCCAAGTTAAGACCAGAGATTGGACTACAGACTGGATATAGTGCCTTGTTGGAGTATTCCAAGGCTGCCTGATAACATGCATACAATTTCTATTTGTCTTCAGCCTGTGCCTAGTTCTTGTAGATGAAATAAAGCATGCTGGATACCAACATACTTCTGACATCACAACAATTGCAGATGACCTAACTCTAACATCCGAAGATCCAGAAGGATGCCAGACCTTGGTTGACACTGATAAAGAGTTCCGATATAGACACACATAAATAGAAGACAAGCCAGCTATTAGGTGTAAAGCCAATGCCATGAAGAAATTTGCACCAAACAGACAAATGCGACAAGAATGCCACAGAATACAGTCTGTGGTCTATATGCAGGGGCGTAGAAAGTTCATTTTTATTGGGGGTGGTAACAATTTCTTAAAAAGGGCACTGGCACATCCGTGATGAAAATGTAGACACGTTCTTTTCTCTAGACACTTGGCCTCCACAAAATCTAATAGTGAAGGGGGGGGGGGGCTGGTACCATCTGTCAGTGGGGGCACTGTTCAAAACCCACGATTATGCACACTAATTAACAATATGCACTCGTAACAGCCGCTAGCACAAAAAGGGCACAAAGTTTTTTTTAAAGGGCACTTATTCAGATTAGGCATGAAACTCTTCTGTGAATCTGCCGATTTCCGCGTTTTTTTTAAGCTGGTCTTTATTAAACACAAAAGAAATAATCTGATATTGACTGTTTCATGCTGTTGCGCTACTGAATCTTGAGCTGAAATTGCTAGCGTACTATAAATTAAAGGAAAAAGTTAGACAGGTGTAGCGTGAATATCCGACTCCATGAAATGTGGACTCATTAGTAGTACTGCGCAGTACGATACTATGCTATTTTTAGGATCGTTTCGGGAGAGTGACCTGTCACGTGCGAGGGATCAAACAATAATAGGGAAATAGGGGTCCGATTTTCATAGGAGTCGGATTTTCATGTGACACCGGCACTGCTTTTTGTATAGGTACAAAAAAACATAAAAAAGTGCAGAACACAGGTTCTAATATGCATCTAGCCTTTTATGAATGAACATGTCACCATAGTGCCCTCTATTGCACGCTGGCAATTGGCATGAATGCTAGAGAAATGGAATCAATGAAGCTGTGGATGTATAACAATGCAAGCCTTCCAAGACTTACATAGGAGTTTACTATCTACAACTTCCCAATCAGCTTTGCGGAGAACCTACAGGCTATATGCAACAAGTATCTCAAAAGATGCAGAGTTGCCAAGATCACACAAAAGCTGGGCATGTGACAGTGCGAGCAGTGAAGAGTGAAATTCACAAACAGTAGCATCCACATTGAAGGGTGCTCCATAGAAAGATGCTGTCCAGCCCTTCCCTCCCCCCTTTGATTTTCCAAGGGTCAGGTTACCAGTAAAAACAAAAACTGTCTCACTTTTTCTATAACATCCAGCCCTCGCTTTTTTCTATAACATCCAGCCCTCGCCCCACTCTGCTTAGACTTGGATGTGTTATAGATGAAAATTGACATGACGTCACGATGACGTCATCAGGGGTCACAATATATTTTAAAGGTCTATATCTCCAAAATTACAGGTCTAATTGGGTCGAATTTTGGGATGTACCTAAACCGGGATGTGTTTAAGATGAGAATTTAAGTGATGTCATGACAAAATCACATGACATGTGACGGCATATTGAAAGTGCATATAACTGGTGCTGTGGCTCACCTCTGCAGGGACTGGACACCATCGAGGCAGAATGCTACCAATCAAACCGGTCCTGACGCAGGAGAGCTGGCACGACACGTCACATTACGTGAGAAATGGGCCAAATGGGCTCCCACAGGTCCTGTGATGGGGCCCATAGTCACTGAGCATAGTCACTTCCGCCAGCCGAATTGCTGCCGGGGGGCGGCGGTCGAGGCTGAAGGGCAGGAGGTGCCCTGTTGATTGGCAGGCCGTCGAGTAGTGGAACGAAAACCACGGCTTGACGGTTCAGGCGGAGGACGACGGGGTATAAATGGCTGAGAGGGTTGAAAGGAAGGGCCAGTAGCTGATGAGTGCCGCTGGATGCCCCAGCCTCTGGCTGCAGGTACTACCCAACAGGGCTGAGGAGGCAGTTTGGGATTAACCTTGCCCACATTAATCTTCTCCGTAGCCTTGATACGGTCAGCATCAGCCTGAATACGAGACTGAAACCTGAAAGAGGTCTCGTTCCTGGATGGGAAGGGACTCAAGACGCTTGCGAGCTCCATCGGTGGGCAGAAATACGGCATCCAAAACTGCTGCCCGTCATATCTCCATGCTATGACAACAAACACGAGTAAGTTTGCCAAGAACTGCCCGAAGTGAATGGTCCAGACAGCGAAAGGCAGAGCCTAGCATTTCAGCCGGGATGGTGGAATTGGTCTGAAACCCCTGGAATAAGTATTCGAACAGAAGGAGGCAAAACGCCGTATGGGTTATACCAAAACGAGCGGTGCCGTCAATGTTCAGAAACGCCTTCTCGTTACGGTTCTGAGCAGTGTCTGGGAACAAGGATGTAGTCGGAGCCCGATGACCAGAATCGGATGCAAGTTTATCAGGCACGTCATCAGCAATGGTAGGCATGGTAAGATACTGAGTCATGTCGTCTGCCGGGAAGGAGTATAAACTCAAAGAGGCGAATTATAGGACGACGCAGTTTGGGTTGGTCGAACACAGACTGAATCTGTTGCGAGCAAACCCGATCGAAGGGAACCACTGGGGTAGGATCGGGAGTGACTCGTGAGTCGGGAGCTGTTTGAACGAGGTGCCAGCTTCATGGGCTCAGGAAATCCCAATACATGTGCCATGTCTCGTTGTACCAAGCGATAGAGCATGGCCATGGAGTCTTCTTCATGTTCGGCCTCGTCCTCATGAAGTGACTGAGAAGAGACAACATCTTGGTCTTCAGCGGGAGGTTCAGACGGCAGGTCCATAGGAGTGCCGAAAGAACTAGGGGCGAATACCGACATGATTGGAGAGTCCGGTGGAGTGGAACTCGTGTGAGGTATGTTAGGGTTTGGAGGCGGTCAAGGCTGGGAAGGGGGGCGATAAGTCCAGATCAGCAGCGGGAGTCTGTTTTGAAAAGGCTGAAAAGGTTTCAGACAAGTTCTGAATTGCTTGAAGCAAAGCCGTGTCCTTATGAGAGAACTTATGCCGCTTGTGGCCGACAGAACTATCAGTATACATATCCTTCGACTTGCGTTTCTTCTGCTTCTTCTCCTTAGGAGAAGAATCCGCCTCAGATTGTAGAGGGACTCCAGAAGCAGTCAGGAAGTCTGATGTTAGTGAACCACTCAGAGAAAACAAAGGCTGAGGGGAACAAAGTTGAATCACCGTCCGAGCAGACGAGCCCTGGCACCGGAATCCCTGGATATTGGGGCCGTGGAAAATCAAAAATTGAAAGCCCCCCCCCCCCTTCGATTTTACAGAGGCCAAGTGTCTGCCAATTTTGGCCCGGGCTATTATCGGTGATAAAGAACCTAAATGGTTTTAAATGTCATGTTTATAACTGCTCCATCACAAATTATCCTCATTTTGAAATACCTTTTCAATTAAAAACCATAAAAAGTGGAAAAGTCATGCGTATGGTTTGCTCAATATTTCCTTATATGGATTATCAGTGTTTCTCAAGCAACCAGCTTTAGCTGGCATGTATTTGGCACGGAGAGCAGGGTCTCTACACCATCAAAAACAATTCTGATCGGTGTTTAAACAACTGTTTAAGACCACCTACTTGACAGGCTTTTGATCAATAGAATTAGGTAAACCATCGCAGGTATTTATGATTAGTGGCTATCATGGGCGTCGCGAGGGGGGGGGCAAGGGGGGGCACTTGCCCCCCCCCCTGGAAAAGCAAACAAAACAAAAACAAAAAAAAAGGAAGAAAAAAAAAAGAAAAAAAAGAAAAGAAAAAGAGGCGCGAAGACAAAGTGGTGTAAATTTAATGAGTTGGGGGGAGGGGCAAAATGTCCCTGCCCCCCCTCTAAAACTGATAAATCGAGAATGTGTTGAGAAATACAAGCATTTTTTGGCAAAAAAAAAATTTGCCCCCCTCTAGAAAAAATCCTGGCGACGCCCATGGTGGCTATGTATATTGGTAGGGTGAGTGCACAAGGTGAAGTAGATTATCTGTTACAAACATAGATCTGTTCATCACAAACTAAGACCAACATAGATATTTGCAAAACTTGTGGCATTTAAAAATGCGCAGACAAAAGACCTCATATGAAAAGTGTTCCACAAAAGTGACAGGATATGATATCATCATGTATTGCATGAAACCACCTTAAACTCAAGAATCTACAGAACATATCCATTCAGGTCATAATTTAGTATCTTAATTGACAACTGATTTTGATATGAGAATAAAAACATAAACATAAACAAGACTTCCTGTTACATGTAGCACACCACTAAAGTTATATAAAAAGTAGAGTTTCAAAAAATATTGAATTTAGTTTATAAAAAGAAGTTCCCAATGTAAGTTCCCAATGTACCTGTAATCTATTACTGCCAAGATACAGCCTCTGAAGATTCTCCAGATACTGCAAGTGAGACAGATCTCTTACTCTGTTTTCTTCCATGTGAAGCTCCACTAAGTTCCACTGATTCATGAAAGAATACTCTGATAGCCCTTTAATTCTGTTGCGATCCAAAACTATCTCTCTTAGATCCTGTAAGCTATCAAGGCCTTCCACTTTGCTGATCTCGTTTCCTGGAAGAGAGGTAACAAAATTAATGAAATTGATGGATGGAGTACCAAACTTTTGCAGATATGATAAAACATATTTTCAAGTTCCAATATACAAACTTGCCTTGTAAGAAGAGAGCCTTGAGAGATGGTAAACGGCTAATCTGAAGCCTAATTAGGTCAGTGATTCCATTATATCTGAAAAAAAAGGATAACAGAGGCATTTGCAGAAGTGTTGATATACCTAGCATAAGTACTTAATAAAAGTATTATACGTATGTATCACATTTATGGTACTACTAAAGTTGCAAACTTAATTTTACATAGGCATGTTGAGTGCTTTTGACACTCACGTGTACAGACAGTCGTGTTTTACTATACTCTTGAGGACAATGCTTTGTGTTTCCCTTTGTCCCTGTGCTGTAACACTCTCCCATAGACTAAGCATATAACAAAAGACCCAATGCCCAAGGACTGAAAGGATCTGTTGTTTTCCCTTTGTGTGACGGTCCTCAGCAGGTTATGTAGAACATGTACACCTCTACAGTTATGACCCAATTACTGCACCTTTTTGTAGTATGTGGTCAGTTCCAAAGTGGACAAACATGTACATTTTGGACAATTGAATAATATGCATAAGAACTTTTAGTATCATAGCGGAATTTCATTCTAATAGAATATTATTTTCTAAAATGATTAAAATAAGAATTATACATACAACTTTTTTCCTGTCGTAGAAATCAGCTTGAAACACCATTTTTGTGTACTTAATTACTTTCTTTTCAGTTAAAAGCACCAGTTGAAAACATTGTTAGAAATAAACCACATTCCAAAAAAAAATACAGATAATAAGTTTCAAATACGTTTCCTACATGGCATTTGTATATTTTATGTTTTCAAGATGCATTCCCCATGCTATTTTTTGAGTGTCACCACCCAAAAAAATAGATATTTTTTGCCAATTGCTATTTTCAAGGCAATATGAAAGTTATTCACTTTTGAATGACACTTATAAACAAACAATTCTTCACAAAATTGGATTTATTGGTTACAAGATCAAACATTTGCTCTCATGGGGAGATTTGTACGTAAAATGAAAACCATGTCCCTGTTGAAACAAAACAGACAAATTAAACATTTGTTAGGATAGAATACAAAGTCCATTTTTTATTTTGAAAAGCATGGGTGTGCAACTTTAATATTGAAGTTTATCAATTCCATGTCACGGGTTGTGACTAAGTCATGAAGTTGTGAATAATGTGACTAATGTCATGCCCATGTCATGAAGTTGTGTCTAAGTTGTTACACACTCTTTCTACTTGAAGTAATGCTTCCTAGCCTTTGAAAACATTTGTGAACATTTTTAAACATAATTTTTTTTCTTTTCTTTAACACATTTACCAATTCAAATCTTACCCTAGATGGAGTACTTCCAGATTTTCTAGAATGGGTGTGAAATTCCCAGGGCTATAAATGTCTGTCAGGTCTTCTCTGTATCCCTTTAGGTATCCTTTACTTCCACAAGCCTTGGGGCGCGGCAAGATACATTCAATATGATTGTGGTTCAAACACAGCACCTGAAGCCCAAGGAAAAATCAAATAGAAACAGTAACTTGTGCAGTCATTTACCAAGGTTCCTTAATTGTGACATACTGAACACATAGAGTAACAAAAGGGACGACAGACCAACAAGTTTGTCAATAGACAGTCTGTTATGGAGTCTAGATTTTAAAAGAAACAAAATGTTTACAAAAAATATGGGAGTTCTTCCTAAAAAGTTAGAGTGCAAACAAAATAGGGACGAAAGGGGTCCACGATTGAAGGTGTTTACACACTGATGTATTTAGATGTCTTTCTGTTATGGCCAAGCTCAATTTTAAATAACAAAAACAATGAGGTTTCTGGCTATGATGCTTCCATCCATTCATTCTGAGGGTAGAAAAGCATGTCTTGTTAATATCCCTATGTTGAACTCCAGTCTTTGCCTAAAACAATTACGTGACACCAATGAAAGCTGAAAGGAACCAACTTGAAAAGTCTCTTGAAGCGAACTTCATAAACGTAAATAAATCACTGCCATCCAAGCTTATCTTTCATACATCTGAATTAATAGTAAATACATACAATTAGGGTTTCATAAATGGAACTGAAGAATACACTCAGAAAAATGTGGCAAAACATTGTTTCACGCCATTAGTCTGAATGGTGTCCACCATCGTAAAAAATATTTACACATTGCCGTTTCAAAATGTCAGTGAGGTACAATTTTTATAAACATGTAGCATATACATTTGGCACTATAAATACACACGTAATCATCCAGATGGTAAAATAAGATAATTGAAAAAGTACACATTTACTAATGCAGTAGGTGTGTTCTCCACAAGAAGTTTTAAGTGTACTGGCCGCCCTGCTAACATATTATGTTGCCCCTGTAAAAGTTTGGCCAACCCACTAAATTTCTTCCTGCCCTGCATTATTTTGTTTACATTACTTCACAACCTTTGAAGCTAACAGCAAAGAAGACAACATGATTTCATGGATTCATTATCATTAAAAAGTGTGAAAACTGCAATTGGAAGTGGGATTCCATTTAACCAAGCAACCCCTTCATGTTTTGGATGGGCTAAATATGATTTTGGACACTAGCAAAATGCACCATCAAACAAATGTCAGATTTGGCCACAAATATTATATTTCCAAAAAAAAACAAGCATTATGACGTCATCACCCGAGACGGCACCCTCTAGCGGCACATCAAAGTTATCTTTAAAATTTGAAAACCTTTCGTCAACATTTCACCTACTTGCCCCTATTCATTGGACAACTGCAAATGATACATACAATTGGAATGTGCTCAATTGGGCTACAAAATGCGTTTCAAACATAATGATGTTAATTATTGGAAAGAGTATTTTAAAGTAGGATATAAATGTGCACTCAGCCATTATTAAATATACTGGGTGGTTTTGTGTTATTCTTGCGAGAATGAATTTCTGGGGTCAAAATTTTGACTCTCAAAAATCAAGGTGAGTGCTAGTTGCGAAAAACATGCGAGTGCTGTTTGTATAACGTGACACACACAGACAACGTGTATATTACATTGTATGGACACGGCTGAAATCATATGTGTACTGTAGCGGCAAGTTGTGAAATTTAATTTGGGTTTATTCATAGTTGTTATTTCAAAGTGTTTTCTAAACTTTAATTTATGATCACGCATACCTTTGATTGGAAATATTAGTTTGTTGCGGTAAAACTGTTCGTTAATCGTTCCCGATTACAGTGCTCCCCACTCACACAAACCGGTTCAGATTTTTCTTTTTTTACCTAGTGCCATTCATCTCTATAATTCTAATTTTATCAGATAAATACTGTCTGTTTGCAATGTTTTTACAATTCAGATTAGACCTTTTAAAATAAATAACCTAGCATATTAGCATGCAGATTTGAATACTTTTTTATAACAATAAGCTTTTCGTTTTCAAGCTTCTCTTTTTTCAAAGTAGGGATTTTTGCTGGTGGTTTTATACTTATTACCTTTTCATAAACTCAAGTTTTCTACTCTAAATTCTAAATTTTTACGTGTCTAAATATATGTATATTGTTTTTATGTCTTTTAATTGTGATGAAATAAAATATTGTATTGTATTGTGTTCGTACTTTTGTAAAAGCGCCCTCTTTTGATATCATACATTTGTAAGGTCAAAGTTTAAACTCTTTATGATTCCGATGATTCGTAAATAATGGACATGTACCAAATTTATCTCCCCAAATAATTGTAAAATTATCAGGTTTTCTAAGTCCCAAATGTTGTAGATTCGGATCCAACACAATCGGTAAGCCTTGTTGATTTATTCATGGTTATAATTTATCATATTCTGAGTGATTTATTAAGATGATTTGCAGCTTTTAAAGTAAAGATTTATATGTTTTGGGGTGTGTTTAATTACACGTACAGGGATAATGTACACACTATGTCAAGTGAAGGCTCAAGCTCAATCGCATATGTTTGACTAGTTAATCTAAATGGTTTATTATGTTTTTCTGTAATTGTTAATACTAAAGTGAAATATTGTAATTTGTGTAATTACAGTGAACCACCACCTCCACCATAAGCACCAAATACAACAGCACTAAAGTACTACTGCCTCAGTGTGCATTTAGAAAGGGACCGAATACTTCAAATAAAAACACTTGTGTGGCAAATGTCGTTTCCAAGGCTACACGTATGCCACAAAATATCTGCCGCGTCCGATCTAACAACTGTTTTTTTCCCATCTTTTCTCAGAAATAAGACATTAGGTTAGTTTCCTTTCAACCAGAGCCCAATTTCATGGCTCTGCTTACCATAAGCAAAAAGGTAAGTGTATTTCACAGGTTTTGTTTCTGCCATGCGTACAACCCGTAACTAGGGATTAGTGCTTACAGGGTTAGCGCAAAATTTTTCCGTGTTAGCACAAAATGATGATCGTTATCACGTAATTCTGGGAGATTTTAAAAAAATTTTAACATAGCAAATCATTTTCTACGCATTTTTTCTGACCTAGAGACGTCAGTTAGAAATTGATTTCCGAGGGTGCACGATAACCCCTTCTTCCCACTAAACTACTTGTGTTTGACAAACAAAATTTATTTATTTTGATTATATGCTCAGACCCATATCTTCTTTCCTCAGAGTTCAAAGTACTTTTTGTGCGCCACTTGTCATTACAAAAATCTATCGGTATGTAGTCAGGTGGCATATGGTTGGAATCGTGCACCAAACTTGGCAGATAGATTCTTATAGCCCTAGAGAAGATATTTAGAAGGGGTGACACCTCAAATTCTTTTTGGAAGGGTGCCTAATTTACATAAATCATTAATCCCTGCCGTGTAATATATTTGTTCCCATATTTGGGTATATTTTTATTTTTTTATTTTTTTGAAAAGTGTATTTTGGTGATTCTACTTACATATCCTTACTTCAATAACATTTTCTAAAGCATATAAGTGACTGAATAATTATGAGAACATAGTAAAGAACCAAAATGGCTACTATTTTACCCAAAGTTGCGCGCATTTACCTTTTCCTCAGATATCATCAACTAGTCTCGCCAAATGTGGGTATTGATGAGCTTCAAATTCACAGAGTTACTTACTGGCACAGTTACCCTAACAAAAATAAGTGGGAAATCATGTGAAAATTGATAACATCTTGATGCTTAGCCCAAAAGACAAAAAAGGGGAGAAAATGAGGTGTCCATAAGTTGGGCTACTATAGGCGAGGGGTAACGTGGGGGCTTGAACAAGTTCAACAAAATCCTCCCAAATAAAAGATTATTGTTGTTTACAATAATTTTGTCTACGCCAAAACGTTTTCTCACCAATAATTTTGGGAATTTCCTTGAACTTGTTCCAGTATTCCACGTTAGGCAACCCTTCATCTACTTGTTAGACTAATTTACGGACACTTCGTTTTGTCCCGTTTTTGTTTTCTGGGCTAAATATAACAATGTTGTCATTGTTTACATGATTTTGCATAAAGTTTTAATAGGGTAACTGTACCAGTAAGCAACTTGGTGAATTTGAAGTTCATCAATGCTGATGTTTGGCAAGACTAATTGATATCTGGAGACATAATGCGCGCAACTTTAGGGCATCATAGTGTAGCGAAAACCACTTTAATTTGCTGTCTAATACTATATAGGAATGGAATAATTTGTAGTGCTATTGATAGATGTGCCAGCTGAAAAGTCATTCACTACACATACCAGGGTGCATTTGTAAATTAGAGCTTCCACCAGCTGGCCAAGCCAATTGTTCCTTTTTTCTACTAGCCTGGCTCTCTACTCAATTGACACATTTAGCAATTCATGGATTAGCATGGGCTCGCCAAAAGCAGTTCACTGTATTAAGGCAGGAGTGTTCTAATTATTTGCATAGATTACTTACATTGCATTCCAGTTCAGTGGAAAAGTACTAGGCTAGCAGTACCAGTATAAAAACCCTGCGCACATGTTTGCCCACTGAGGATTTAGGACTGGGTGTGGTAGGAGAAACATGTCTCTTTGAGCTTGATTTCTTTTACTTTTGGACCTGTCAAGATGGCTCAAATTGTTACCGAAGTTCAGTTGCCAACCTATTGGTGTTGTACGTAGGTTTTTCTTTTACATGCAGTAATGTGCCCCGTGCCCCATTTCAGCCGTGCTCGTTCATTTTATATCTTATGATTGTATTAAATTGGGATAGTGTATTTGCTAGACTGTAATTATAATAATTTTGCCTGATTTACTTTCTGTGCATGTGGCTTTCCTGTTTTGGTGGGTGCTTTTTGGTAGGGTCCGGTTGCTTATCGGCGAGGGGTTGATTTGTCCCCCTTGGATAGCAATCTAGGAAATATTTATTAAAAGGCGATTTGCCATTTGATGGGCTAATATGCACAGGAAGTACAAGTAAACTAGTTTGTTATTCTCTTCCCTTTTTTTTTGGCCTTTGGCCTTGTTTGTGTTCGACTACAAATTTGAAACTAGAACACATTTTTAGTGGGCTGTTCGCCCAGGATTCAAACTAATATGTACATGTCCTTATAATTGTCTGACATGTACTGCACGTAATTCAATCATTCTTAGTTTTTTCATGAACTTCCGCTTGTTTACTATTTTTATAATCACTGAATCCATACTGCCAAATTTGATGTAAATAATAATAATAATTTAAGTATTCTTGAATTAACAGTCACAAGAAATTGACCAGTGGCTAACAGAATTGAAACATCTTGTTCCTTCTAAAATTATTTTTGTGTTGCTTTCACTTAACTGGCGGATCCCTGAGTAGGTTTTGTTTCAATAGTAGCCATTTTGGATCGTTACAATGTCCTCATAACTATTCAGTCACTTATAGGCTTTGGAAAATGTTACTTAAGTAAAGATATGTAAGTAGAATCCCCAAAACACACTTTTCAATTTTTTTTTTAATATACCCCCATATGGGAATAAATATATAAAAAAATCTCCTTTACTAATACAAGATAATCTCAAATGGGACAAACAGGTTGATGCTATGTGTAAAATATTCAATCGTAGATTGATTTTCCTACGTCAGTTAAAATGTTATGGTGTCCCCATTCCAGATTTGGTTACTGTGTACATTCAATATGTCAGACCTACTCTAGAATATGCGACCCCTGTCTGGTACTCATGTTTATCAAAAAAGCAAGAGGAATGTCTAGAAAAATTACAGCGCAGGGCTTTTCGTATCATTTTGTCTTATGAATATTGTCTCAATAGGTCTTACAGTGGAATATGTTCCCAACTCAATGTTCCCCCACTTTCCCACCGCAGAGAACAATTGTGTTCCGTGTTTGGCAAATCACTACTCAGTTCCCACAAATTCAGAGACTGGCTGCCCCCGATTAGGAACAATGGGTTAAGGAACAATGATCATCTCAGCACAATACGCTGTAGGACTAACAGGTACAAATGCAGCTCTACTCCCTACTTAACTGATCTGATTAACAAAGATATGTGACCTCTTTTTATGAAGGAACTCGTTGTTGGTCGCAGTTTCTGGTTAACTTATTACATGTAGTGGGTTGGGTATGCATGAACGTATAGAGCTCACTCAATATTTTACGCAGTCGGATTTGAATGATTTTAATTTTTATTACTTGTGTGTATTTTGTTGTGATTTACCTTTTTAATGTATCTTTCAGACGATGTAATTCTCTGTAATTTTAATATATAACGATTTTTAATGTGTGTAAATTAAACTGCAATTCGGCCTTATGGCCGTGAAATTTTAATAAAATAAACCATTAATAATAATAATAATAATAATAATAATATTACACGCAGGTATTAACAAATTATGCAAATCAGGCACCCTTCCAAAAAGAATTTAAGGTTTCACCCCTTCTAAATATCTTCTCTGGGGCTCTAAGAATCTATCTGCCAAGTTTGGTGCTTTGGACCAGTCGGTCACGATCATGTCAAAAATTAAGATCTAAGCCACCTGACCAATGCACACTTCAAGCCAATTGTTGTTGCTTTCGTATAAAAATAAATGGGCACTCAAATAATGACACTGAGAAGTTAGAAGCACCATGTGCCCTACTGTAAGTCTAGTTTGTGCAGAGCAAAATAATGCAGAATAGCAAATCATACCCTTTGCATATGGAAATTTGGTTGAGCCTTAGCAGCAACGCCGGAGCACAATCAAAAATTTTGCAAAATGTGACGACATTTAAAGGTGTTTGTTTATTGGCTGCACTTTTGATTTGGTTTTCTGCAGCTTTATTTATTGTTCTCAACAAAGACATTAGAATTAAAGCTGTTCAGAGGAAAAGATAAAAGGGAGGGGCTATATTTTAAACAGTAATTAGAACGATTAGAATACAGTTATTTTACATACCCTTAGGTTCACCAGGTAGACAAGACCACAGAATGACTGCAAACTGTTATGCTCCAGGTTCACACTGAATTAGAAAGATATTTCAAGAAATAAACTTAAAGAAAGAAGCATTGTTGAATAAAATAAATCACCCCTTCTCAACAATAAATTAAGAGACAAATAACTATCCTATTTTAAAGTCCTCGCTGTGCATATAATCAAGTGAAAGTAGTGGGCAGCCATTTTAGTCAGGCAGAATCAAATGGAAAATAAGGTAGCACTTTAAATGACTAACCAGAATGAGAATGTGCATTTAAAGGTAATTTCATCATTTGTAATTTGTGCATTTTGTTTCTTTGAAGCAACAAAAATTCAGCAACTGAGACACGTTCTCGCTGAGCCGATTGCAGCTACGCAATGGCGCGCACTGATCCTATGAATTAAAGCAACCACGCGTGCATGGATGTATGCATTGTGTCAAAGCTTGCACGCGCAAAATGACAGCATGTCATAAAGAATAATTTCACACGGAGTTTAGTTCCCTTACTATCTTTCAACCAAGTATGTTTTTTAACAATAATTACGTTTTGGATAGCTGCAAATGATGGACTGTAGCTTTTCGACAAGAAATAAAGGGGGACTCCATGTACAATGTACAGTAAAACAGGATTGTGATCAATCAGATGCCAATGGTGTAGTGTGACAAAAAGCCACAATCCCTGTTAAGGCCTAGTGAATACAGTCTAGTCTAAAACTGATACAACCCTTAATGGCACAAGAAGGGTGAACAAAGTAAAGAGGTTCATTTATTTGTTTGAGTATGCTAGGGAGAACTTGTTTCCTAACAGCTAACATAATGGAATACATGTACCTCGACATCTGATTCAACAGTTAGAGGTTTAAATTCAGGGATCCAACGCTTACAATACTATGTTTTGCTAAGTTTTAATTCCAATCTGATATTTCAAACACTTCCAATGAGTTTTAATCCTATTGGCTCACGTTTGGGAAAATGAGATACTTAGAAGCACTAAAATTACTGTTGTTAATATCTCTCTTCTCGGGTGGCACACTGCAGTTTGCCCAAAGTCGGTTTAAGTCGGTCATTGGTTGGCAAATGGTTGGAGTCGTTCAAAGTTAGTCTCGCCGACGTCCTTAAAAAGGCCATTGGGTTTTGAACATCTTGCCAACATCGGTCAAAATACATCTTGTCCTGCAACAGACAGCCAGCCTATGGTGGTTATTATTTTTTAGCCTCACATCATACATTGGGTTTCCTACCGATGTCGGCAGGTTGAGTTTTAGCCCACACATCCACGCAATGACATCAGGCTGTGTTCCCAAAACAACCTTGTACCCAACGTCAGTATTGGAACATCCAGCCAATGTGGGCTAAAAATATGTCTTGCCGTCATACATAATAAGCAGGTGGCCAACCTCCATTAGTGTTATGACGTCCAATTAACGTCAGATATTAGGCATCTTGCCGACGTGGGCAGGATGGTTTAATTAGGCCAACATGTCCGACAAACAATGTCGGGCTGCGTTCTCAATACAACCTCGCAGCCAATTTCGGTCATGGAATGTCTTGCCGATGTTGTTTAATTAGAATATGTCTTGCCAACATGCCATTTAGCAAGTGGCCTGCCTACATCAGTGTTATGACGTCCAATCAACATCATATATCTTGCTGACGTCGGCAGGATGATTACAGCCGAAATGTCTGACCAACAACGTCAGGTCGTGTTCCCAATACAACCTTGCAGCCAACGGTGGTCTTGGGACATCATGCCAACGTCGTTTTGCCATTATGCCATCCAATCATCATCATGTATTAGGTATCTTGCCAATGTTGGCAGGATGAAATTTAGCCGACACATCCAACCAACAACATTGGGCCATGCACCCAATATAACCTTGCAGCCAACATTGGTCTAGGAATATCATAGCCCAATAACAGTTGATATGTTGCGACATCAGTCACACTACACTGCACGTGTGTGTATACTTGAAAATCTTTGGACAGCACAACGGTACTCCACATGTCATTTTACTTCAAATAGCAGGTAAGAATTGTGCCTTTAACATAGTTATGGTATCGATGCTCCTCAGACAAATGTAGATTTTGCTTGTAGCATTATGATGATCATTAACATATATTTCCAGCACCAAAAAGACACATCGATCACCCAGATGGTACACCGCCTGAACATACATGCGGTCAGGATCATCAAGGCCAACCAAAGGCAGCGACCATCGTGTTGCTGAGACGTATAAACTATTTTCCGTAATAGATGACATGATTGGCAACAAAGCAGCTGCAGCAAAGAATTTGCCTCAACACGACAACGATCAAAAATTAGCCGAACAGTTTCTAGACTTTTTTAATAGCAAAATAAATCGTCTTCGAGGGCAACTGATGCATGTTCCTGGTGATATTCCATGTGTATCTACTGAACTTGGTCACTCATTCATGCATTTTAGTACAATTAACGAAAAGGTTCTGATCAAATTCATGAAATCAATGAACTCTAAATCGTGTGTTTTGGATCCGATCCCGACTCACTTTTTGAAAGCTGGTCTTCCTTATGTTTCAACGCATTTATTATCGATTGTGAACAAATCTTTTGTTTCGGGCGTTTTTCCATCAGAATAAACAACGGCTATCATAAGACCTCTGTTTAAAAAGTCTGGATTGGATCCAAATGAATTGTGTAATTACAGGCCTGTGTCAAATGTTCCTTTTGTTGGTAAATTAATCGAGAAAATAGCTGCTGACCAGCTTCATGCATATTTAGTCCGGTTCTCATTGTTATCCAAATTTCGGTCAGCTTATCGGCAGTATCACAGTACTGAGTCAGCACTGTTGAAAGTTCAACATTATATTTTGATTTCACTTGACAATCGGAAAGAGGTTATTTTAGTTATGCTTGACTTGACTGCCGCTTTCGATACCATTGATCAGTCCATTTTACTTCATAGATTGAAAAACAGGTATGGGATTACAGATTTAGCGCTCCAGTGGTTCACTTCCTATTTAGTGGGTCGTACCCAAAGGATTTGCATTGGGTCAGCAAAGTCAGAGTTGAATCCTTTGCTTTTTGGTGTGCCACAGGGAAGTGTACTTGGGCCAATTTTGTTCACATTATACCTTGCACCGTTAGACGATATTTTCAAGAAACATAACATCAATTTTATGTTGTATGCTGATGACACCCAGCTGTACGTATCCTGTAAGAATGGTAATAATTCAAAGACTCATCTTGAAGCATGTGTTAAGGAAATTAGACAATGGATGTTTTTGAACAAGCTTAGTTTCAATGATTCGAAGACTGAAGTGATTCATTTTCATTCCTCGTTTCGTAAATGTGACCTTTTGTCAGGTTTGCACGTTGGAAATAATGATATTACTCCTAGCACAGTCATTAGGAATCTCGGTGTGTATTTTGATAATCACTGTAATATGGCTACTCATGTCTCTAAAATGTGCCAATCAGGATATTTTGCTTTGCACCGCATTAGCAAAATTCGCAATGTTTTAGATGGCACCACTACTGAACGACTTATTCATGCCTTCATTACGTCACGACTGGATTATTGCAATAGCCTGCTTTATGGCCTTCCTGACTATTTAATCCATAGGCTACAATTAGTTCAAAACTCAGCCGCTCGTCTTATTACCCATACTAAGAAATATCAGCACATTACCCCTGTTCTCCAAAGTCTTCACTGGATTCCAGTGGCACAGCGTATTGAGTTCAAGATCCTTATCTTGGTTTATAAAATCTTACATAAACATGCACCTGGTTATTTGTTGGATTTGTTGACAGTTCGGGAAAGTTCTATAGCCACTCGCTCCTCCAATGAAACACGCTTAGTCCAGCCCCGTTTCAATCAAAATCATTATGGCATGCGTGCCTTTTCAGTAGCAGTACCCAGTAAGCTTCCTTATTTTATTCGGAACGCACCTTCTTTTTTATCTTTTAAGTCAGCACTAAAAACGTATTACTTCCGTCAGGTTTTTAAATAACATTCATGATGATTGACTGATTGTGGTTTTAATGTATTTTTAATGAGTTTTACTTGGTATTTAAATCAATAGATTGGTGATGTATTAATATTTTTAATGAGCTTTTTTAGTGTATTTAATGACATTTGTTTTATTAACTTTGTAAAGCGCATTGAGATTGTGTCAATGATGTAATGCGCTATATAAGAATTAATTATTATTATTATTATTATATTGAAGGGTTTGTTGGGAAACCTTTTGTCACTACGTTCTAAGATATCCTATTAAATGTGTGTGTTAAATTTGCTACTGTATGACTCAATTCCTCCTGTAATTAGTCAGGTGGCATATGGTCGGAATCGTGACCGACTGGTCCAAAGCACCAAACTTGGCAGATAGATTCTTGAAGCCCTAGAAAAGATATTTAGAAGGGGTGACACCTCAAATTCTTTTGGGAAGGGTGCCTAATTTGCATAAATCGTTAATCCCTGCCGTGTAATATATTTATTCCCATATTTGGGTATATTTTTATTTTTTTATATTTTTGAAAAGTGTTTTTTGGTGATTCTACTTGCATATTCTTACTTCAATAACATTTTGTAAAACATATAAGTGACTGAATAATTGTGAGGACATAGTAAAGAACCAAAATGGCTACTATTACTATTTTACCCTAAAGTTACGCGCATGTACCTTTTCCTCAGATATCATCAACTAGTCTCGCCAAATGTGGGTATTGATGAGCTTCAAATTCACAAAGTTACTTACTGGCATAGTTATCCTAACAAAAATAAGTGGGAAATCATGTGAAAATTGATAACATCTTGATGCTTAGCCCAAAAGACCAAAAAAAGGGAGAAAATTTTGTGTCCGTAAATTGGGCTAGTACTGGAAGGGTAACGTGGGGGCTTGAACAAGTTCAACGAAATTCCCCCAAATAAGAGATTATTGTTGTTTACAATAATTTTGGAAATTTCCTTGAACTTGTTCCAGTCTCCTACGTTAGGCAACCCTTCACCTACTTGTTAGCCTAATTTATGGACACCTCGTTTTTTCCCAGTTTTTGTTTTCTGGGCTAAATATCACGATGTTATCATTGTTCACATGATTTTGCATAAGGTTTTAATAGGGTAACTGTACCAATAAGCTACTTGGTGAATTTGAAGTTCATCAATGCTGATGTTTGGCAAGACTAATTGATGATATCTGGAGACAAGGTAAATGCGCGCAATTTTAGGGCATAATAGTAGCCACTTTAGATCGTTACTATGTCTTCATAATTATTCAGTCACTTATATGCTTTGGAAAATGTCATTTAAGTAAAGATATGTAAGTAGAATCCCCAAAATACAAATTTCAAAAAAATAAAAAAATAGAAATATACCCAAATATGGGAATAAATATATTACATGACAGGGATTAACGATTTATGCAAATTAGGCACCCTTCCCAAAAGAATTTCAGGTGTCACCCCTTCTAAATATCTTCTCTAGGTCTATAAGAATCTATCTGCCAAGTTTGGTGCTTTGGACCAGTTGGTCACGATCTTGACGAAAATTAAATCTAAGCCACCTGACTAAATGTAGGTTGGAAGAAGACAACAGGCCAATAATTTTTTTCTTGGAGATATGGAGTCCACTGATTTGGGCCGGATTTAGGTAGTCGATCGACGGGTACAACGTGTTAAATCACAGAGTCAGGCCGACGTCAAGTGGAAATTGGGAATGGGACTTTGGAACCTTGGGCCTACGGGTAAGTATTCAGTCAGACCAACGTCAGAGGAAATGTGGGAAGGGGTGTTATTAATGTCGGGCAAACAGATTTAGGGAGTTGGTAAACAGGCTGAATATGTTAGTCAGAACGATGTTGGGGGAAGTTGGAAAATGTGCCTTCATAATACAACCTGCCAATGTCAGGTCATCTGAAACTGTACATCAGTACTGTCGGTTATAGGTAGGGACGCTGTCGGCAGGAAAACAAAAATGTGGCTTTTGCTGAACGTCGTATTGACATTGGGCCTCAGTGTGAAAGGTGGGGTCGGTACAACGTCATTCGAATATCCATCTGACGTCGGTTGCCGAGGTCGAGCTGACATAGGCGGGATTTGCAATGCCCCATTAACAGACTAAATTCAACTAAATTCCAACGACGGGCTATCATAATGTGTGCTACCAGGGTGCAACTGGTCTGTAAGTTCGCAGTGACTCTTTGATTACAATAATAACATATTGTAATTTTTACCTTCTCAGATTAATAAAGTGTTCCCCTGTGCCGAGGTCAACCTGTCGAAGAGCACTCTGGGGAAAGTCGAGCTCCCGCACTTCATGAAAATTAGAGTGACCTAGTTTCTCTGCCACGAAGTCTTGTGTCAACCTACCACCAAATTTATCCTTGGCAGTTCCCCCTTCTGAAGATTCCTACGAAAGCAACACAACATTAAAAACACTGACAAAACTGTTATAACCTGACAAAAGTAGTGGATCACCACACAGAAAGAGTTATTGCATCTACTCACAGGAAAGAGAAAGACATCTTTAATAAAACATACATACATAAGGCAAATTTTTTTAACTGCTTACAAAAATTCTGTCTGTGTCAGAACGCTTTGCCTAAGATATTTCAGGTAAAAGGTGAAGTGATTATTTCTCTGTTTTCAGCTAGACACTGAGAGCCCGGTTTAATAGTGAATCAAAAGCTTGTGATTACTACTTAGAAGGCCACTTTTTTTGTAATCCACAACTTCTCTGTCGGAAAATGTTTGTGTAGGGCATACACTAGCAAATAGAGTCGCGGTGCCAAAAACTGTCAGGAACTAAGGATAAGACTCAACAGGCCAAGGAAATTCTTCTTAAAAGCAATGAAATGGTACACTTTAAGGGTTCCATATGGTCAGACAGATGGACAGGGGAGGGGGGGCAAGGGGGGGTGCTTGCCCCCCCCCCCCGGAAAAGCCAAAAAAAAAAAAAGGAAGAAAAAAAAAGAGACAAAAAGAAAAGAAAAAGAGGTGCGAAGTCATAGTGGTGTAAATTTAATGAGTTGGGGGGGGGGGGCAAAATGTCCCTGCCCCCCCCCCCCTCTAAAACTGATAAATCAAGAAAAATACAAGAATTTTTTTGGGAAAAATATGTTTTGCCCTCCTCTAGAGAGGGTGGGATGCGCGGTAAGAAGGTCTGTTGGCAGTCATCAGACAGATGGTCAGACTGCCGGCCTGCACCTGTAAGGTGAAATATAACCTAAAAAGCTTTACCACAGCAGATCCATCCAAGGCCTTCAAATTCTTGAGGTGATACACCACAAACAGTCTGTAATTTTCCACTGATGCCACAGGGTTTCCAAACAAGTCCAGGATAACAAAGTTGGGCAGATGCTGAAACAAATCAGAATGTAGTAGAATGCTGTTAATGTTAAAGCTATAGTCCATCATTTGCAGCCATCCGAAAAAGTAACTGGCGTATTATTGTTGAAAAACATACTTGGTTGAAAGATAGTAAGTGGACTAAACTCCCTGTGAAATTAATCTTTCTGGCAAGCTATCATTTTGAAGTAATCAACGAAAGAAGGCCTTTCCAACGATGCGTCTTAAGACGCACCGTAGGAAAATTTAATTTAGTAGTTTGTTTTGTTATTCGGTGCAGCGCGCGCAAGCATTGGCAACATGCACAGGCGTCAATATCGCACAGTTTGTACTTTTAAACTTACACAAGCAGCCTTGCTTATGGTCTAAAGTCACTTGGTCGGGGACGTTTCCCGCTGCTATATGTACATCATATTCGAACCAGCCAACCAATCCCACAAGCTCAGTGGTTGAGTGGTAAGACGTCTGCACTAGAAAGCAGGAGGTCTTGGGTTTGAGTCAAGTGATTTTTTTCCAACTTTCACTCGGGAGGTAACGCGGTGAGTATACAGTGTTTATAAGTTGTCGAAGGGCAATACCTCATATTGATTTACAATTGATATATTTGACGTGTAATTAAATTTCAGTGTTTGTAAAATTGAGCTGGCCAATGACGTATAATTGCCTTTTAAGGATAAATAAAGTATTTTGAACTGAATTGAATAACTTGTGTGGAAAATACCAGTGCAGGGTTCAATGAAATTTGCTCAATGTTGTTAAACCTATTATATTTATTTCTCTTCCTTTAGCGCATATTTCAATCTTTCCTTTTTACCTGGTTCCGTTCCATTAAACCTTGAAGTTGCTAGAGTGACGCCCATTTTCAAAAGTGGTGACTCACTTGATATCCACAACTATCATCCTATTTCAATCCTTCCTTGTTTCACCAAAATTCTTGAGAGAATTGTCTACAATCGACTCTCTGAATTTCTTCCAAGAACAACACCCTCTTTCGTTAACAATTCGGGTGTCGTCCTGGTCATTGAACGTATATGGCACTCATTCACCTCACTGATTGTATCTCTACTTCTCACTCTTACACTGCTGGTATCTTCATGGATCTTTCAAAAGTTTTTAGTTTGACACTATCGATCACAGCATTTTTATATCTTAACTTGATTTCTATGGTGTCATGGATTGTACCCTTAATTGATTGGTTTAAGAGCTGCCAAGATCAAAGACACCTGTTCACTGTCATCAACAATATTGAATCTTTGTAGGGATCTATCAGCCATGGAGTTCCTCAAGAGTCTATTCTCAGGCCTCTAATATTTCTCTTGTACATCAATGATATTCAATAATCTTTTTCAACGTTGTCTTTTCTACTATTTGCTGACGACGCTATCACCACTTTCTCTAGTTCTAATCTTCACTCTTTGGTTAACAAAATGACAAACTCATACATACTTTTCCTTGGTTCAAATCGAACAAACTTTCTCTAAATCCGAAGTAAAACTAACTTCAACTAACTCTATTTTTCCATTTCCTGTTTGACTTAACAGTGAACCTATTTCGCAGGTTCACTCAACTAAATTTCTTGGAATTATCGTCAATGGCAAACTAACGTGGAATGACTATATCCAAAAGTAACAGATTAATATGTAAAAGTTATGAATGTGGACACTGTCAACGTGGCTCCATCTTAAAGTGTAGTTCATTAGCTTTTCATTGATATCTTATTTGCATCTCTTTCGTCATGGATGACTGAGCAGCACGATCCAAAACAAAGGCCAAGAAACCCCTGTTTCCAAGTTTGTTGAGTAAGTGGCAAGTTAAGCTATGGCATGAATGCACTGTGGCTATATGGACAGTGTGTTCAAAAGGAGGTATGTTATAGATGCTGGTGCTTATATTGGTACAGCTTGTAGACCATAAATCATTCATCATTCCAAAGACTTTTTAATTACAACAAATTCAATAAAAAAACACCTTTAAACAGCTTGCAATGGGCATAGCCAAAACCACTCCAAGTCGGGCAATGCACAAGCTATGTTTTGAGTACAGTTTTGCAAATAATTGTTTTAATGAGTAAACAAATCTTTGAATGATTGATCTTAACAGGAAACATGATATTCCCTTTATACTCAAACACTTTCCATTTGTCTCTCTCCCTCCCCCACCCAACACATAATTTACTGTGACTGTGAACTTGTTTCTGCAGCTCAATTCACAACTGAATTAGTTAAACTTTGAAAAAAGTAAAGGTTTGACCTTGTGATTATCAACAAAATCCCTGGAATGATAATCATTAATGGATTACGATACCCCTATTAACGCACTGTCCACATTACCGCACTGTCCACAGCGCATTATTCCGATAGCTTAACTTGCCACTTATTCAGCAAACTAAGTAACAGAGGTTTGAATACGGGCGATTCCATATACAGAGCGCCACCTAGAGGTTGCCACGGAGAGTCCATCTTTCTAGTTCCGGTCGACAAAAAAATAAATATGGCCGACTTGCCTCGGTTTAAGCGAATGTCAGTAGAAAACTTGAGAATTTTTTGGAAAGAACAGGGAATTCCATTTAGTGGAAAGAAGAGAGGGGAGGGGAGTCAGTAGTGTTGGCAGAAAAGGCGTCAGAGAGGTATAAGGTTTTAGGCGGGAGTAATCATGAAGAGTCGGTGAAAGCACGTCGGAGAGTTGTGACGAGTGACGGGACGGTGTTGGATTTGAATGACCGTGATGTTTCGTGGAGTACAGATTTGAGAGAGATGGCATCTGTGTCTCTCGGAGACGTCTTTGCATATCTTGTCAAGAACTGTGCATGGACACCACAACGGCTATCGCAGTACAAAAGCGACGACGGGTATCTGATGTTCATGGACTGTCATGTGGAAAGCGTAATTTCAGGTGGGCCTAGCCTAGACTAGCAGTAGGCCTAGGCCTACTGGCTATATAACGAAGCCAAGTTTACATTTTTCGTTATTGAAAAAAACGTCCATGAAGTTGTTAAAATTAAAGGCAATGATCGATATCTTGACACAATTTGTATTTCTTTTAATGTTCCAAAACAGAATCTGGAAAGTTGAAGTGAGAAAAAAATAATAAAATTTGGTTAAAACAAAAAAACCCTGCATCTCCATAGCATTTTACATGACCAGATAAGTAATGATGGTATGTTGATACTACATGCACATTCTTTGCCCATTTATGTTCGATATGTTTTGCAGGAAGTATTCCTGTATTTGTAGACAAGACCAAAGTGAACAATGTCTAAATAATATATGTCTATGCTATTAACTTGCCTGAAGAATGCATAAAGCTAGCCTCATTTTATTTTTTATGTTTGTGCACTCGGGGTCCCAGTCTACATGAGCACATTTCACATAATTTTGGTTACTAAAAATGACCCATGAGGTTTAAATGGGAAAATTCATTTCATTTTGCTACTCTGTCACCAAAATAGCAGCTTTCTTGCAATTTTTTTGTAAATTGTATGTACATTAATTTTTTTGCCTCTTTCAGGTAAAACACATAGGATAACTTCCCATGAATATGTGAAGGCCACAGTCAAGCCAGAACAACGCCAGACAGGCCAGCGGTACCAGACTTGGGTTCTTCTCACCAGACATGTGGAAGTGATTTCTGCTGGTTGTGGATGTGTTGCAGCGTGAGTGTTATTGGCTGTTTCGGCACTTTGCCGAAACAGCCTTTGTTTTCGTTAAGATTTTTATTGTTATTTTTTTATTTTTTTTATTTTTCAGTCATTTTGCCCATAGCATTTGTACACGTTTTTTTGTTACCGCTACTTTGGGCACTAAAATCAATCCGATTGACTTTATACTTGGCTCACACTAAGACCAGCATCTGAAGTTGTGTGCCGAACATTGACATCATCGTGACGTCATCGACTAATTTATCATAGAATTTTGAATATTTAATTTTTCCCATAGACTTTGTACACAGAAATAAAAACAATTGTCGATTTTCAAAGGGCATTTTTGACTCTTTGCCAGTAATTTATTTGCACCAATCTTTGTCCAAGCAAAGACCCTAATTCAAACAACATTGTGTAATGATGACGTCATGATGACGTCATCCGGTGTGTATTTATAGGCAATTAAATTGTGACACTTTTAATATTTAAAAATGCATAAGAAATCAACCGTACGCGTCCGCAGCATTCTGTTACTGGCAAGTGGTAGAGTAGGTTGAGGTCTTTATTTCATTCAGTGTGCGTGAAATCACGTGACCCTTGCTTCCGGTCGAAAAAGGCCAAAACCGGAAGTGGCTTTTTATTTGAAAATGGTTATAGATATGATTTTGCTTTTAACAGTGTTAGTCTTTTGGCTAAAAAGATTCTTTAAATCATCTACCAATGACGTCATGCAATCTTCGAGCGCCCTCTAGCGACAGGTTGAAAATTAGCAAAAATGTATTTTGAATAGATGTCTGTGGCGAAGTTTGTCGGAATCGCCTAAATATTGGTGTATATGATGACCTTGACCCACTTAAGACGTGTGTGAAGTTTTAGGCGAATGACGTCAACAGACCGGAAGTTATAATAAAAAGACCCTTTTTCATTTGAAAATCCCTGAAAAATCAACCATGGCAGTTTTTATGTTAGTTTTTACTTTGTCGATTTAAGGGTGGGTCTAAAACATTTCAAAGCTTCGAGGCAATAAGCGAACTCGGACATGCCCTGCGCACGCTTAAAACTTCAGGCTGACAATACCTCTGCTCTAAAACATGCACAGAATGTCTATATGTACATACACGTACGTTACGCACATACATGTACATCGTATGTCAGTCAGCCTGCAGAGCACGTGTTGCCGAGGTCAAATCCTGTCCACATCACAGTGACCGTTTTAGCCGATTTTCGGCTAACTTTGACATATTTTATGTTCATGCATGCGCATAGTCAGGGACGTATAATAGCAAATCATAATGCCGAAAAGCCCTATGTTACGTATTTAAAGGTGCCGTTTTTCTGCAGTGGGATTTTCCACAAGTCTTTTCCTATACAA